GCTCCAGCGAGCAATTCCTTTGCGTGTCATGCTGGCACTCAAAAAGTTTCAAATTTTGGAGTATTTTGGATTTTCAAGTTAGGGATAGTCAACCTATATATCCAGATGTGTGCATTCTAGTCATGGTACCTGCTAAGCCATGGGTTTGATGTGGTTCATGTCTCAGGTTTTTTCTAATGCTCATTAAAATAAATACATAATTCAAAAGAAAAAAAACTCTTCCTCCAAGACTGGGTCATTGCACTTGAACTTCAAGGCCATCTGCCAGTGCAGGCAGGCACAGTCTGTGCTCCTCCTTCCAAGGAAGAGGGGAGTTCGCCCCAGAGAGGCGAGGGGGCTTACTTGGGGTCACACCAGCAGGAGAGCAGGGATGGAAGCCAGTGCCTCCACTTCTTCATGGGCTGATAATTCACTAATGGGGATTGTTGGAATCGGGTCAGGTTGGGCTTCTTCCTGTAATACATCCCAGCTTCCAAAACCACCAACTTGCATGAGGTATTTTCCTTCCCCTTGTTGGGTCAGTATCCTTACCTCTGTCCCAGAAAATCAGCAGTTGGCTTTCCAGGGACACAGTTGCTTTTTTTTGGGTGGGGGTGGAAAATGTGTGCACGTGCGTGCACGTGCGCGCGCGCACACACACACACATATTTTCTGGCCATCACCAATAGAGAATCAAAAAACATTACAGCCCACAGATTTGGTGATCTGGAGGTTATTCGAAGTGTTGATAAAGAAACAGAAACTTGTCTTCAAAAATCAAAATAGTGCTGGCTCTCATAGTCAGTCAGCAAACATTTATTGAGCACCTATTATGTACCAGTCACTGAGCTAGACAGGGACAGGAGGACACACAGTGAGCAAGGCAGATACAGACCTTGCTCCCAAGCTGCCTCCTCTGCCAGACCCTCCACGGCCTCCCTGTTGGATATTGAAAGCTGAATGCTCCCCTCTGGCATTCCCTCCCTACTGCCACGCTTTGTCTCCATGGTACTTGTCACCATGGATTTTATATTCCACTTTTATATTTTTACTGGTTTTTTTTCCTGAATACAATATAAATTCCACGGGGCAGGGATCACTGTTTTGTTGACTGCTATATTGTCAATATCTACAATAATCTCTGATACAGAGTAGGCACACGGAAAATATCTTTTGAACAAATGAGCAGACATTGAACAAATAAAAACCACACAGGCCGTGCATGGTGGCTCACACTTGCTATAATCCCAGTGCTTTGAGAGGTTGAGGGTAGAGGATCACTTGAGGCTAGGAGTTTGGCCTGGGCAACATAGCAAGACCTCACCCCTAAGAAAATAATTTAAAAAGTAGCTGGATGCAGTGGTATGAACTTGTAGTCCCAGCTACTCAGGAGGCTCAAGTGGGAGGACCCTTTGAGTCCAGGCTGCAGTGAGCGAGGATTGTACCACTGTACTCCAGTCTGGGTGACAGAGTGAGACTCTGTCTCTAAAAAATTGTTTTAGATAATTTTAAAAATCATATATAGAATACATACATACATATAAATATATAAATATAAACCTATGCAAACGTAGTAAGTGCTTTGGAAAACAAGTATGGGGTCTGGGAGGTGTGGCGCACAGTCGGGAAAGACTTGCCTGAGGAAGTGATGTTTAAGCTGAGTCCTAAATGATAAGTAGCTGTTAGTTGCGCAAGGTGGAGAAGGAGGGATGGAGGAAGGAAGAAGGAGTGTTCCAAGCAGAGGAAGAACATGTGCAATGGCAGAAAGGACATGTATCCCGGAGGCCTAGAAAGGAGGCCAGTACATGGAATGACCTGACAGAGGCAGAGTGGCAGGGAGGCAGCCAGAAGGCAGCTCACAGAGGACCTTGGTGACTTCACCATTTGGATTTCATTCCAAAGACCGCTGGGAACCCAGAAAGAATTTAAACCAAGAGGTGTCCATCAGATTGACATTCCAAAAAGTTCCCTTTGCTGCTAGGTGGGGGTGGCCTGCCGGGTCAAAAGCCATTTCTGGAAGACCAGTCAGTCAGGAGGCTACAATAGTTTTCAAGTGAGAGGTGGTGGCAGCCTGGACTTGGCTGGTGGCCACGAAGGCAGAGAGCAACGTGGATGGAGAGAGGGGGGTCAGGTGGAGCTGGAGCCCAGCAGCTCTGCTCACGTGTCCTGAGGGTGCTCCAGGGCAAGGGTCAGCACCTGTTCTCCAGGAAGGGTCAAACGGTAAATATTTGTGGGTTTGCAGGTTTGCAGGAGCAAGTTAACACAGCAGGCCTGACACTGCTGTGCGGCAGGGCCTGCTTGCTGGGTTGGCTCCTGATTGGTGTCTAGGAACTTGGCTCAAAGGTGCTCCCTACAGCATTAAGTGAGGAGGTTGTTTTGTATGTCTGGGACACTAAATTCCATTGTCTAGACCACCTGCACGGCAGTGTGATTTCTGGTGAACACCTGTGTTTCCTCTGTGACTCTAGAATCCTGAGGGCTGTGACTGATCCCACAGAGACTACCTGTGCACTCAATAAAACACCCCATTAAAAACCTGGACTCTGAGGCACAGAAGGCATCCCTGGGCCGAAAAACTGCACATGCACGGCCCCATTTTGAGGCTGGAAGGAGCACATTCTGGGGCCCTCTTCTCCTCCCAACTTTCCGCCAGGAGGGAGGGAACGTGAGAAGTCAGTGCACAGATCCCTCTAGACTCTGTTTGACAGGGTTTTTCCTCTTGCTGATGACGGAAATAAAGCACATCTATGAGGGTCACTGTTCCTGAGTCCTTGGAGTCCTTCTAGTGAGTCACTGGATGCGTGGGTGGTCTTGGGACCCCTGACACAGGCGCGTTCATTCAGTTTGTCTCAAGTACTTGACTCTGCCTTTGTAGTGCTGATGCAGCCACAGACAATATGTAACAAACACATGAAGTGGCTGTGTTTCACTAATGCTTTATTTATGAAACCAAGGGCTGGATGTGGTCAGCCCATGCTCGTGGGAAATCTGGGGCTCTCTGAATCCACACTGAAAACCACTGATTGAATTCAACCTGTCAGTGTCATCAGTGGAGAAACTGAGGCCCAGTGTCATCAGTGGAGAAACTGAGGAGGAAGGGAGAAGAAATTTGTCCAAGGTCACTCAGGATCCATGGCAGACCCGGGAGAACCCACGTCCCAACTCCTGCCCCAGCAGACTCCCTGCTACTCTTAAGGGGCTGCTCCATAGAACAGCCTTGTGGGGAAGTGTTAGCCTGGCAGCCAGGGGCCAAAGGAAGGAGACGGTGGGAAATGGATGCTTAGGGGAGAAGATCTGAAGGGTGAACTGTCTGGCCTCGTGTGTGTGTGTGTGTGTGTGTGTGTGTGTGTGTGTGTGTGTGTAGGGGCTCTAAGGTTACAGGTGCCAACCGGATATTCCCAATTTTTTTGATCACCAGAATCACCTCTGAAGCTTCTCAATAATACTGACGACCCAGCTCCATCTCAAATTAACTGAAGCAGAGTTTCTAGGGATAGGACCTGGAATCTGCATTTTCCAAAGTTCCAAGGTATTCTGATGATCACCCAGGTGATGCTCAGGTGATGCTTGGGATCTCCTGACTGACTACCTTAAGGCCTGGGAAAAAGGAGTCCATGAGCAGAGGAGAGAACAGGAGACCTATCCTGGGTCAAGGCAGGACACGTGTGGACCTAACAAAAACACACAGACCAGAGAGCTGGGGAATGTGCTTTCCAAAACAGTGTCTTCAATCGAGCCTTTGCCATCAGAGGTCAGAGTTGGGAAGGCCGACAGCCCTGAGCCAATTTCCTGCTTCCTGGGGATTCTGTCTGCAATTCAGGATGCAGTGTAGGGGACTGGTGGTACCCTGAGCCTCAAAGCCCTGCAAGGCATGGCAAACTGAGACAAAGATGAGCATGCTTTCCATCCACTTCCTAAGCCACAGTGAAGGCCCTCTGAGCTGCACTAACCATCTCTCCACAAATACTTCCCCTCAAGCTCCTGTCGGGGGTGGGGGGGGGGGGCTGTAAACCACAGACCGCAGACTGGAAATTTTGCTTCAGCGTTATGCTCTATTTGAAAATTGTACGCAGCACCTACATGTTATGTTTAATAGAAAAACGAGTACCGCTTGCCCACTCAAATATCTTTGAGTAAATGATTTTGTGCATCAGAGTTGCCTGGGAACTTTAAAAGATACTGACACCTGGAACCCATGCCCAGTGAGTTTATTTTAATTGGTCTGGGCTGTGCTATGGGAGTTGGGATTTCAAAACCTCCTCAAGAGCTTCTAACTCATAGCTGAGGTGGTGAGCACCGGGCTGGCATGATGCCGTTTTCATCTCATTTAACGTGCTCCCGAGTGCACCACTGCAGACCCATCAGAAAGACTCAGGCATGAACAACTACTACTCACGACTCAGAACAATCAGTACCTTACTGGATAAGACAACTGATTGTTTGCTAGTTTCTCCAATTATTTTCTTACCATGAGCTGCCCACACAAAGAAAATCTATCAGGAACAAAGACCCAGTTTCTCTCCCTGAGATGCACCATTGCAAAGATCTATGATTTGGGGTGGGCAAACTTTTATTTACATGTTCAGTAACTTTGAACTGAAATCTAGCACTTGTTTCAATTATGAATGCAGGCAACAAACCACAGTGCTGACAGCAGTAGACATTTTAGATATTTTCATACTGTATAGGCATCTTTAAGTATCATTTATGCTCATCACTGCCTTGAAACCATGGTCGTTATCAGACCTGCTACTGGATCTGGCTGTCTGATGTACTGATAAAAAAAAGTGCATACATTTCCATGCCACAAATTTGCCTTTTAAACTGTCTTGGTAACTGTATTTCAAAACATTTACTTTCCTGCCTCGTTCACTTATGCACTTGAAATGAAGTAAGAAGGAGTCCATAGGCTTCCCATGGTTCTGCCAGCCATTGAGCCTCGGTGGTCAGCGGTAGGGACTCTGCAGAAGGTGTTCCAGTGGCTGTGCACTGAGCCAGCAACTCGAGCCAGCAACTCTTACCTGTGGGTCAGAGAGCCGGGAGAGGTCAGGGTACAGGTAGAACTTCACGCCCTCTGAGGCCCCGGGCAACGTCACTCCTCGGATCAGGAGGATCAGAAGCATGATGTAGGGGAATGTCGCAGTGACGTACACAACCTGTCCAGGAGAGGGGAGGAAAGAATCAGGAAGCGGTGACAGCCAGCGGCTGCCTTCACTCAGCACGGCAACCTTCAGGTTCATCCATACTGCCGTGTGTTGCAGAAGGCCCTTCCTCTTCAAGGCTGACTAGTGTGCCTCTGTGTGTATAGACCACATCTGTTCCATCCAGCCATCTGCACAAGTCAGTCACAGAAAGACAAAGACTGCACGAATCCTCTTTAGGGAGGCACCTAAAATAGTCAAATTCACAGAGTCAGGAGGGGAATGGCGATTGCAGGAGGCCAGGGAGAGGGAAGTAGGGAGTCACGGACTAAGGGGTGTGAGGTCTCAGCCAAGCAGGATGCATTGGTTCTAGAGGTGTCCTGGACAACACTGTCCCCAGAGTCAACGGTACTCTATTGGATACTTAGGTGTCTACTAAGAGGGTAGATTTCATCTCAAGGGTTCTTATCATAAATCAACAAGATTTAAAAAGTAAAAGAAGCAGGGGTGATGGCAGTGGGCCATGTGGGGAGCAAAGGGAAAAAGGGCTTCCCAGTGCAGCGACAGGTGAACCCCAGACAGATTGTTGTCCCACCTCACTCCTCACCACTGGCCCTCCAGGATGGGGTCTTCCAACGAGTGTCTATTGAATGCCTAGGATGTGCTTGAGTGCAGTGTTTTTTTGTGTTTTGTTTTGTTTATTACCACAACCCGTGAAAAGAAATATATATCACAACCCAGCACACATAGAGCTGAAAAGGAAACTTCACAAGATAACACTTCCATGTGGGATGCATGCTCATATTTTCTATCAAACTCCATTTTTTAAAGCCAGTCATGATCCTGTAAATCCAGTTTGTAACTCGCTAATGGACAAAGACCCACAGTTTTGAAAACGACGGCTCTTGATGAAAATCAAGTGTTCACAGCCTAGGATAGGATAGGATAAAATAGTGACAGGAAGAAGAGGGAAGGGCTGAGAGGGGAGGGCAGAAGCTGTGGAGGGCAGAGAAGAGCCAGCATCTACCTGGAGTCATCAGGGTTTGATCTACCTGGAGGCAGGTGATTGGACCCCAAGAACCTGAGAGACCCTTCCAGCTGGCAGATTCTGGGTAAGAATCGAGACAGTGAAAGACACAAACCTTCCCTGAGCTTTCCTGCACAAGAGCCATCTAGAAGGAGACAGCAAGACCCACACAGACTATAGGGGTTCCGTCCCAGGGGCTGCGTGCAGATGCCGGCCCTGTCCTCGACTTGAGGCCCCTGCAGAACTCGGGGTCCTGCCAGTTTTGATTTGCTCTCCTTTGTCACATTCTCTCCTCCAATCACTTGGTTCTGTCCTCTTGGTAGGGCCTGCTGCTCCATCTGTCTAGATCAGTCACTGCGAGTCAGGGCCTTCCTGAGACCCTGAGGACAGATATGGACCTTCCCTCCGAATGTGTTTGGACACAGATGTGTGCGCAAGCTTGTGGAAGGACCAGAGGCTCCAATGCCCCAGATAAAACCCTGTACTCTGACACTGTAGTTCTAAGTGAACCTTTCGCGCCTGCTCGCCCCAGGGTTTCTGTGCCCAGTGGTTCAGTCCTACACTCCATTCATTCATTTAGTTAAGCATTTACTCACTCAGCTCTTGCACCTACTCACTCACTCACTCACTCACACACCAAAAACACCCCTATGCACCAAGCACTGAGCTAGGCACTGGAGGATATATATAAGCCTGAATCACTGGAGGGGACTTTCTGCTCCAAAAGGCTTCCATCTGGCAGGAAAGACAGACATGGAGACAGGTAGATCATGTGTCATGTAACAAAGGATGGTAGGACACGGAGAGGGAGTCCTTCACGACAGGGGCAGTCTGGAAGGGCTTCTCCAAGGAGGTGTCAAGGAGGATTAGGAGTTTGGGATAGAAAACAAGGATGAAAGGAAGAAGGAAGCAAAAAATCCCTACTCCATGCCCAGACCTTTACACATGATAATAACAATGGCTACATTTATTCAACACTTCTCCAAGCCAGGCATTCATTCTCAGAGTAGGCAGGATTATCATCTTTTTACATATGACAAAGGCCAAAGGGTTCACCTGTAACTTGTCAAAGATCGCCCAGCTAATGAATGGTGGCCCAACATGGGAGTCACAGCAAGGTCTGCCTGACTACAAGATCACATGTTCAACGACTAGGCCGTGTACATAAACCTCATGACAGCCACCCAAACACTGTGTTATTTTCCCCATTTTAGAGATAAGACTTTGGAGAAATTAAGTCATTTGGTTTGTAAATGATGAAGCAGAGATTTAAACCTAGTTCTCAAAAACAGAAAGTTAGAACCAGTAGGGGGTGGTGACCATGGATTCTGTGGACACAACCTGAAAGGTTAGATTATTTTATCCAGACAACGTCTCTAATCTACAATGATGGCAACCTCCCAGCCCATGTACGGCCTCTACCCCACCAATTTCTGCATCTGTTTCCAAATCAATCATTAGTTCCAGCTACACATCATGTCATCAACACAAATAATCCCTTGCTGTCCTGGAGCGTGCAATCCAGAAAGGGTGCACGCAAGTCAAGTAAATAATAAGAGACCAGCAATTGACATTAACAATACAAAAATAAGAGGCCAGCAATCACTAATGCTAGATGGTTCCAGCCCAGAGAGCTAACAGTGCTATAAAATCTACAGTTTCTCTTGGCTTTGTAGACAGCGTCTGTGATAGATCTTCAGCATAAAATTCTTAATTATTTCCCTGTAAAATGAAACCCCCTGGCCAGGCACAGTGGCTCATGCCTATAATCCCAGCACTTTGGGAGGCCGAGGCAGGAGGATTAATTGGGCCCAGGAGCTCGAGACTAGCCTAGGCAACATAGCAAGACCTCATCTCTAAAAAAAAAAATTTTTTTTAATTAGCCAGGCACAATGGCACACCTACAGTTTCGGCTACTCAGGAGGCTGAGAAGGAAGGCCTGCCTGAGTCCAGGAGGTCAAGGCTATGGTGAGCTGTAATCATGCCACTGCACTCCAGCCTGGGCAACAAAGTGAGACCTTGTCTCAAAAAACAAACAAAAATCTGAAATCCCTAGTCAACCAGTTTAAGTCTATAAAACATCAGGCTGAGGCTAACAATTTGTTACTTTTGTTTAATAATGTCCACTTTTGTCTGTTGTGTGGCAGAAGATTAATTACTCAGAATGTGCAGGCAGGAGCTGACCTGTTCCAGATGCATACTTCTGGAACTTAGCTACCTTAACTCCCAATGCCCATAGCATTTAAAGAAAAGACCATTACAGTGTAAAACATAAGAACAACTCAAAATCATGACATCTGTCCTCCACCCGTGGGACCACTTTGATGTGACTAAACTTGCTGGTTATGCTGCATCTTGTCTATATTGAGTGGATGGGACCACTGGGGTGTCATTCAGGGGGGTTCCTTAAAACCTGGCCAGATGTAGCCTCACTGGGCCGTGGCAACACGTAGAGCAGATTGCTCTTCAATTAGCGTAGGGGCACTGCTTATGACATGGTTGGGGACTATCTTGAAGCAATTCCATTGTTTAGCATTCTAAATCGATGCTCTGCTTCTATATTACGTTTAGGAGAATACACTCTCTTCACTGGTATCCACATCTTCATTTTTACACTCCTTTTACAAAACCTTGAGGGAAATAAAATATTCAAATGAATTGCCCAAAGACCACAGTGCAGACAACGAGTGAGGCTGCCAAAATGAAACCACTGGTTGGCAGGCATTAGCCTAGAAAAATTAATTTGCAAGCGGAGGTTTGCAAGTCTCAAGTCAGGGTACAAAAGGTGGCTTAGGGGCATCCTTACATAAGGCACACAAGCAGCGAGTGGCATGCACTGCAGTGCTCAGGATGCCTGCATCTGTATCTATATCTGTTCGAGCTCTTTAAAAGCCCCTTCTAATCTGTTTCTACCCTTGGCCATGCCAGACACTTGGATATCATCTTTGGCTTTTTCCTGAGAACATCTGTGTACTATCAAAACCACACAGATTTGTCATCAAGAGACCCCATAAATGTCATACACACTGCCATTCCTCCCTCCTGTGCTCTTGCCAGGCATCACTAATTGATCACAGCACTCTGCAGGTAAGCCTGGATGCAACCTCAGAAACCTCCATACTGTACTCCAGGCAGCCACCATAATCTCGGAGCCTCTGGCAGGTCAACAGACTGGTAAGGCCCAGGTCTCGTCCTCAAGAAAGGAATTGCTGCACGTATACATGCAGGAAGGAGACTCCTGGGGTCACAGTACCACATAAGCAGGGTCAGACAGAAAAGGAGGCTGTAGAGACAGGTTGGGAGATGTTCAGAGGCTTTAAAAGGGATCCAGCTTCTCTTGCCTGTGAAAGTGGGCTGGGGCTGTATCTCTGAGGAACAGCAAAAATGGGAAAAGTTAGGTCAGGCAGGGAAGATGTGGCCCTAGCCAAGGAGGTGGAAATGGGTACAGAATATTGTTCTTGGATGCCCAGAAGCCTGCAGGTTATCACCCAGGCACTGGCGCTGTCTCGCCTCTTTCCTCAGCTTCCCACACATTCAAGCTTGAGTCCTGCCAATGGGACCTCCAGCTGAACTCTGAAGCTACAGCCCCTCTCTGTCCACATCTCCAGGGCTCTTCGTCACCGCTCTTCTTAGTCTTCACCAGCCCCATGCTGTCCACAGTATAGCCCAAGGATCAGAAATGCTGCCCTGGCGTGTCTCTTCCCTGCCCCTCTGAGTCTAGACTCCCCAGCCTCGCATTCGAGGTTGTGGGATGCGGCCATAGGCTTGGGCTTTGAGTGGGATGACTTCAAATCCTGGCCCTGCCCAGGCACGCCGTGTGACTTGGCCAGCCTCCACTCTTCCCCCGACTACCAGGTTCCCTGCTGTTGGGGAACGTGCCAGGCTTCTTGGGCCCCTTGCCTTTTCTCAGCCTCCTTTTGTCCACAGTGTCTGTCCCCAGCTCCTGGCCACCCAAAGCGTTTGTCCCGTGTGTGTCTGAATCCCCACA